TCCTCTCTCTCTCTCTCTCTCTCTCCCTCTCTCCTCGCCAAAATTCTCCAAAAAAAAAAAGAAAAAAATAATAAGGAAAAAAAGAAAAAAAAAAAAGAAAAGCGATCGACGCGCCTACATCACGTGACACTCTATATATATATATACACGCACACAGAGCGTATGCGTAGGAGAAGACACGTACGTGTGTAGGAAACATTTATTCTCACGAGAATATGCAGCGAGCTAACTGGATGGCACGGTTTCGGTCCAGGGGTGGCCCGGAATAGCATAGTTACATCAGAGATGCAGGGGAGTTGCGGGTGGCGGCGCGAAAGGGAAGGAAAGGGGTTGGAAGAGGATGGTGGGCGAGTACGGAGCGAGGCAGGGACTAGCCCAGGGGCGTATATATATATATACGTATGGTTGGGCCCCAGAGACCCCCCGCAATATTTCATCATTACGCTGACACGATGCGTAGGGTTAGTCTCTGTTTATCCTTCTCCCTTCTCTCCCTCTCTCTCTCCGTCGAAAAGAAGAAGCGAACGTTAGGCAAAAACTCGTTTACACGCGTCGCGTTAGAAATCGGTTAGGAACACCATAGTTATTGAATCGAAGTCGCTTTGTAAAAAAAAACGGCTACGCTTTTATGGGACACTTGCTGTTTGACCATCTGTATGGGGGCGGGGAGGGAGATGTAAGCGAAAGAGAGAGGGGCGCTCGCGCTGCCACCGCACTGCGGGAAGCCAGAAACGGCGAATTGTACACCTAGGCTGCCCGTTGTAGTAGTCAACGGGTGTAATAACGGTCGAGGAGAACGGATGATTTTTGCACCGTGGAATCGGGATTAACGACGAGAGGGAATGTTATAAAAAAAAGTGTTTTCCTTCGATCACGCGTACTCCTTGCTCTTTTTTATCGAAATATTTAATGGGCGGCTAATGGATACATATAGAAAGAGCACGCGGGGAGATATTATAAAAATAATGTAATAACGTTTCGACTTTAAAATTTTTTCGAACGAAATGGAAAAAAAACTTGCAGGTTTCATCAACTCTGGACGGGTATTCACGGATCGGCGAGATTATAAATATATTTCTTTCGAATTTCGAAGGGAAGGGGATGGGATATTATTGAGGGGGGGAGGGGAAAAATAAATAAATAAAAGGAAAATTGATCGCGTTACGACGCCCTGTGCGTTACGAATCGTCCCAATGGCGAGATAATACACGAGCAACGCCCCTACTACGCTCGAGAAGATCATTCCGGGTCGGTGAGCATCGGAGTCGCTTCACCCTACTTCACCACTCCTATCATCCACTCATCGGCCTCAGATTGTTTGTATTAGCATAAAAACCCCGATACGACAAGCAGCAAATTGCAATTGAATTAATGGGGCGGACTCGACGTCGTCGAGTCTTTCTCTGCCCAGTCGTCTGGATCGCGTTTTCAAGCAACGCGTTTCCTCCCCTTATAGGAAAAATGATTAAACTTTTCGAAACGAGATCGTCTCGTTCTCTCCGTGAAAATATATTTCATTGATTCGTTATTAATAATTAACGAGCGTTAACGTCATACGCCATTTAAACGTATGTACAATTACTTGAGTGTATATACATATATACATATATATATATATATATATATATATACACATATACATATCGGAATATAGAGAATGTATCAATAATTAAAGTGTCAAAATGAAAACTGTTGCTCGCATTTCGAATACGATACGACGTTAATAAAGAATCGGGAGGGGGGAGGGAGGGGGGGTTGAATTTTTTAATCGTCCGATTAATTATAAATCATAATTAATTGCCATCCGTGATTAATTATTTGCAGTGGTGTTTTTAACCAGCTCCCCCTCCCCCCCCCTCCTTCTCCAAACTGTCGAAACTCGTTTCCCATTTTGTTATAAATCGTTGGCCAGAGAATCGTTGAATTTTGCAAATCGGCCGTTATTGTTCACGGTATATACTTGATTACGATAATTGTTCCATCGATAAACTTCGTCATTGGTCAACGGTTATTAAGTTTTAATAAAATTATCCCGGCCTCCGAGGCCGCGTTACAATTACTACGTTTCGCAATTCATATCAATTTGGACGGGTAGAACTGCAGACACTTTCCTTCCTTCCGTTGCCATCACGAAATCAAAATCGGAAAATATTTTCCAACTGCGGGATGAAAATATTTCACAGCCTCGCTTTTGTCGAATATTAAACAACAAAGTGGGGCGCGCGCGTGCTAGTAGTGGTGAGAGTAAACAATGCGGGCGAGATTAATATAAATACATTCGAACCGATCGATCTTTTTCTTCTTCTTCCTTTTCTTTCAATTAAAAAAAAAAAAAAAAAAAAAAAAAACATTCGTGGTGGCAGAGCAAAGGAACGAAAAATGAAACGAAAAGAAAAGGAGGGTGGGCGGAAGTATAGTATGCGAAAAAAATGCAGACTCACAAAGAGGTGTGAATGTACCTGATGATGCGGCCGGTTATTCGGATGGGGGGTCGGCATGTGGGCTCCATGATGATAGACCGAAACAGGGTCGTGCTTCAAAGGCATTGGGGTGCCCGCGTTGTGTTTTCCCAAATCCGCCGCCAAAGCTTCCGCCCTCGAAAGTAAGCCGTCTTGTAGACCGCTGTTCAGACCCCCGAATAAGTCACCCTGAAACGTTAAAAGCGACACGTGACACTGATTGAGAAGAATCAGGGATCACGCGGTAACGCAATTTTCCCAGAAACGCTTCCGTCTTCTTTAAACGAATTTATTATAACGCGCCTCGTCCTGTAACACTCGTTCATGCATGAATGCGCAAAGGGGCGCATGATTTCGACTTTGGATTTCAGCCTCGGCTGAGAGAGGAAGGGAAGGAAAAGAGAGAGAGGAAAAAAGGTAGGTTAAGCATCATGCGAGCGAGTAATTTTACAACGGTGGGGAAGATTCGATTCGACGGAAAGTTAGTTTTATATAGCGTTAGTCGAAAATAGTGGCTCAATGTCACTTTGCGGGCGAAAAAAAGTGTGCGGTTCATTTGTACAAAAGTATCCAGTCAGAGGTCACTCCGTGTACTCAACATGGCCGTGCGATCGATATTCTAAAAATAGTTTTGACACTGGAAACTCTTGGAGCTCCGCTTTTTTCCCCGCATTTTTCCAAACTAACCTGCGCGATTAACCCAACGATTTTTCTTTTCAACGTTCGATCCGCTATTTCTCCCGATACAATACACTATTATTCGACAACGAGCATCTTTGGCAATTAATCCTTCTTCTTTTCTCTTCTTGTGAAACTCGAAACTACGTACGAGTTTATAATTGGCGCGTGATTACGTTGATCACGTTGTTTGTGGATTAAACGGAAGGATTTAAAGGACGCGTGTAACGGATTCACCCTGTTATAATTGATGTTATTCGAAAAGTGGCCGCGCGTGACCTATGAGATTTGCTAATCGAATTCGTTTGCTCGTCAAATGTTGCTGGGGTTAGTGGACAGAATATTTTAGGGTCGAAGCGAGCATAGGGTGGTACGTGTATTTAGACAGATTTGATCTGACAGTCGTCTACGTGGACTACGTGGACTATTGTTTATCGTTACGAGCAAATTACGAGAAATCGCGGCACGCAACGCAATCTTGAATATAATTTCTCGCGAGAAATAAAATTTTGTTTTTCGCCTCGAAGCGAAAGTCGGGGAAACTTTTGGTGGCGAATTCGTAGCGGAAATAATGAGAAAGGATGATAGGACGGGATGGTCGAGGGTGAAAGGGTTAATGCAATTTCTTCCTCCTGCGACGATATTAATAGCGGTTGCGACGCGAATTTATGGTTTCGTTTCGTTCGGATACGCCTCTATGCCGTGGCAATCGATATTATATGGGACATTTTGCGTCAGCCGCATCTGTCACTCGCGGCGCGTTGCGAGGTTCGGCCACCAACATCGTCACAATTTGCTCGAAGAAAAATCGAGACGATCGCGATTGTTTAAAAAAAGAGTTTTTCGAAATTTCGAAAAAACGAGATCGAAAAAGAAAATTTTCCAATTGAAAATTGGAAGGATTCTCAATTTCTCGAAAATTTTCGTCTCGCTCGCGAGCGAGAGGAAAAGTTTCCAGATTCTTTGCCAGCTCGTCTCTAGATTTTCTTGAAACGAAATTTAAAAATAGAATAGCCTCAAATAGCGTTATCGATTTCCGTTCCCTGCATCGTTGGGAAAATGTGTCCGTTGCTTTATTAAATATCAATAAAGGAGGATTTCATTGTCAAAACAATTTAGTGAGAATCCTCCGCGGCGCGGGTTTTCATCAAGTTTGTATGAATCCATTGCGAACTAATTGACATCGACCTCTCTCTCGTTTTTCGCCCGGTAATGGAAAATATTGTAAATCAGATATTAAACGTTTCCCCCAGAAATATCGTTGCAACGTAGAACCCGAGATTTCATTCCTTTTCCGAAAATGAGATCGAACGCCCGATCGATCGATCTTGCCCGCCGATTATCGTTCGGCGAAAAATTTTCTGTTTCTTCTTCCATTTCTGTGATTAAAAATTGACAAGGGCAAATTATCCGTAACAGTTATTGAAATGTCAATAGTTACGTTCCGCGTAGCGAGGTTAAAAACGATTCGCTATCTACTTATTTCATTATAAACTGTAATGTCCGCATCGGCCGATCAATGTTTCATGCGAAAACCACCATCGTGCTTCACCGCTTCGATTATTTATGAACTCTTTGCGTCTTTGTCGACGTACGTGTACCTACTGTCTATCCCTAGGTTGCTGAACTACCGTCGCTTTTTTCTTCTTTTTTTTTCCTTCCTTCCTTCCTTTCTTCTTCCAATTTCCATAACTTCTTCCCCGCGTTTTTTCTTATCTCGGAGAAATCGCCATTTATCGAGCCCCCCTCCCCCTCCTCCCCCCTTCCCATACTCTCGCTCTTAATCCCGAGAAACGATGCAATTTCTTCTTCATAATTGGATAGTAATCGAGTCACAATTATTTTTTCCCTCTTTTCTCTTCCTCTTCGTTCCTTTTCATTCGATATCTCTTATTACGAGCGAAAACGAACGAATTATTTATAGCGGGATACCGGTTGAAGATAATGAGCGAGATTATCTGGCGATAAATTATCGGGCAACCCTGGAAAGGATGAAGTAGGTACTTAACTCATCCGTCGCGTGATACATGGCACTGTTCACGGAGACGAATGCTTTACCTAAACGAACTTTTAACAGGACAATAAATCCTAAATTGCGTTTTCTCTTCAAGCGCGGAGGACGAGTTCCAGTTTGGGGAGAGTTTAACCCCAAATTGGTACGTGTGCGCCGTGAATGTACAGGGTGATCTTCTTCTTCTTCTTCTTCTTCTCTTCTTCTCGTCGTCGAATGAACCAGAACGTTCAGAATTATAAAAATAGATTTCGTTCTATTTCTTATCTACGTGCACAAATACGTGCGAACGATTAATATCTTTGTAAAATCTTTGGAAAACTCGTAATCGTTCTCTCGATCTACGAAACTTTCCCCCAAACGCTCCTTTAATTATTATTATTGTTATTGTTATTATTATTATCATCATTCACTTTACATTTTGTTTTCCAAACAAAAATCTTCTGGAGCAACTTCTCCTTTCTACTTTCCGTACACCCTGTATACACGCGTACACACAGTTTTTCCAAGGCTTTGGAAAAGGAAGGGGCTAGATACCTTGGAGGAACGGATACAGATTGCTCTTGTTACCCGCGTAGTTAGCAGCTCGTGCGGTTGTTTGCCAAAGTTTCTACCAAGGTCCCCCTTCTTCTGCCTTCCCCCCTTCCCTCGATTCTTCACTGGGCCCTCCTAGAGAGTTAATAGAGTCATTTTTCCGCGGCCGACCCCGCCACACGTTCAACACGTCGTCCTCCACCGCGTTTCGGGATTAGCCAATTACAATTGAATTATCGCGCCCCCTTCCCAACCGTAAACGAAGCCCGCGTAATTTATCCGCTCTGCCAGAGTTGGCGAGAGGAAATGATTAAGCTCGAGTAACACCGTGCTCTCATCCGAGGCGAGAAATAATTTCTTTCTTCCCGTTGCGAGCGATCGTTTTGGCGGGGTAAATGGAGTCGTGGCTTCTCCCTTCGTTTCTTCTCTCGCTTTTTCGCGCGAGAGAAGGGAAGGAGGTGGTTAAGTGGAACAAGCGATATATTTGGAATGGTGCGTTAAACTTTGCTGTTCGAGTCTGGAAAATTCGAGCGATATGAAAGTGATTTCGGGGAAGAGGAAGAGATCTTTTCGAGAGTTTGTTTATCGAGAGAGAGAGAGAGAGAGTTAGTTAG